TGCTCTCTTGCATAAAAACACATCACTTTTGCAATGTGCTTTGAGGTGTAGACGTGCTCTTGCACAGGTTTTTTGTGAAAAATTCTTGCACAAAAGGCTTCTTGCGCAAGAAGCCTACAGTGTAGACGTAGCCTTAGAGACTAACAAAGGTATAGGATTATGACCTTTTGTGGGTAAAACCCACTTCATTGGATGAGTTGGAGTTGAAATACAGAAATTATTCTTGGCAAAAAGTGATATTCCACTTGTAGTAAATTTTGATCATATGTTTATTATGAATGCTTTGATAGTGTACATCAAAACAGGATCCACAATACAGAATGCAATGCACTATACAACTTTCTCCATAGCAGGTCCCCCACTTTTGAAATATGCTCCCATTGGAAAAACAATTAGGCTGTGTCTACACTGTCGCGATCTTGTGCCAAAGCGGCCAGTCTTGAGCAAAAACTTGCTGCATGTTTACACTGGCCGCGTGTTCTTGCACAAGTAAACTGACGTTCTAATGTATGAAATCAGGGCTTCTTGCGCAAGAACTATGATGCTCCCACTCAGGAATAAGCCCTTTTGCACAACTGTTCTTGCGCAAGAGGCCAGTGTAGACAGGCAACATGAATTTCTTGCACAAGAAAGCCCTCTGGTTAAAATGGCCATCAGAGCTTTCTTGCGCAAGAGCGTCCACACTGCCATGGGTGCTCTTGCGCAAAAGCACATGCCAGTGTAGACGCTCTCTTTCACAACTACTTTAACGCAAGAACTCTTGCGCTAAAGAACTTTTGCCCAAGATCATGCCAGTGTAGACGTAGCCTGTGTCACAAGCCAGGTCTTACCCTTACATTATGAGAGGATGCACCACCACTCTGTGGCAACATTCTAGTAGTATGCAGAAGTGTCCCTTTGTGCCAAGGCTGGGGTAGCAATGTTTCAGAATGACGTGGGCATGAGCCTTTGTGTTCTGCTTCAGGCTCACTGAAGCATGGCACCATCATGGTATGTGAAGACAAAACGTCCTTCTAGGGGAAGCTGGGTCCACTGCAGACACAAGTAGGAGTGTGTCCTTACTGTGGGCTGCTGTGTGGCGTTGCAGAAACATATACCTTTGTTGTAACAAGATGGATGTGATTGATGGCCTATTGATCAAACACTGTTCATGGAATAATAATGCCTCTCTCTTATAGTAGAGACAAGATGGGAGAGGTATCTTTTATTACAGGGGTGGGGAACCTAAGGCTCAGGGGCCAGATATGACCCCTGGCTTGCCTAGATCCAGCCTCCACAAGGCTGGAGCCCACAAAATCTACTAGCCTGAGTCCCCCTAAGCTCTGGTATGAGAAGGGAATGTGGGGAGTGTCTCTCCTTCTCAGTCGGGAGCCGCCTCACTGAGGGTTTTTTTAAAATTATGCTTCTTACTGGTGTTCGACACCCGACCGATTTTTCTGTGGGTCAGTGGCACTCGACCAAAAAAAGGTTCCCCGCCCGTTTTATTGGCTCCTCTGTTAGCCAGAAAGAAACTCTTGAACCACACAGAGCTCTTCTTCAGATCTGGGAAAGGTATTCCCAGCATCACAACTAAACAAACAGTGCAGCAGATTGTTTTGTATAAACAGCCCACATTCAAAGGGCTGACGCAAGGCAGAATGGGCTGTTAAACCCTTTTTTGTGCTACGACTGCAGAGGTATTATGATATTGTTATGATGTGCCACAAATCTAGAGTCTCTTTTAGTGCCTAGCAAACACTAAAGCTTGTCTTAACAGAAATTGGGCTAATAAAAAAGCATTACCTCACCCACCTCATCTCTCTAACTCAGGGCAGTCAAAATACAGCCAACAGGCCAAATTCAGCCAGTGAAAGCTTCAGATCTGATCTGCCGCAGTCCTCCAAGCCACCAGTGGCCCACGGCCCAGCAGGATCCTGAAGCAGGCTCATTGCCTACCACACACCACTCAAAGCGACTGGCTGTTGGGCCCAGCCTGTGCATCTCTTCACAGCACACAGACTGGGGAGGGGTAGGAGAAGGGCGTCCCCTACACAATCCTTACAGCTCCTATAGGCAGGGGACCAGCCAATGGGAACTGCCTGGGCTGTGCCTGCAGGAGTGGGTAGCTGGTGGAACCCCACAGCACACCACACAAAGACGCACAAGCTGACCTCAGCAGCCTGCTGCTTTGAGCAGTGTGCGGCAGGCGACCTCCCAGCCAGAGCCTACACCCCCAACTAGGGTTGCCAGATATAAAAATACCGGACATCCTTGATATTACATCACAACCTACATTACCTCTTATATAGAAAACACTGGACATTTCTATTGTCTCAATTTGTTTCCCAAACAGAAAGCTCAAGTACTGGGCTGTCCGGTTCAAAACCGGACACCTGGCAACCCCAACCCACTCCTGCATCCAGCCTCCCTCCCAGACCCTACACCCCCTCCTGCACCCCAATCCCTTACGTCACGCTTCCTTCTGCACCCTACCTCCACCCCCAGACACTGCACCGCTTCAATTAGTATCACGGAAGACTGCGGCTTTCGACCACTTTCCAAAATCTTGGAGTGGCCCCCGTCGAAAATTATTGCCACCCCTGACGTAGGAGCTTAAATTCCTGCTTACATGTTCCATGCCATTTTGAGCATTCAAATCCAAGATGTGTATAGTGACCGTCACCAGGGTTCCCCCAAGCACTTTCCCTCAGGACCTCCAGATCTCTACAGCTTGTGTGAAAACACTAATGCCCCTTTAGACTCTGCCCCTAAGTCTTCTAGCTGAAAGACTCTCCTTCACGTATGAGGCACATGGAGAGACATGTAACGTACAAATCCTTCTTAGGTGCCCATGTTTGCAAAGAGGTTCCATAACATCTCAAGGCTGGTGTTTTAAACGGGGATGACTGAAAACTGGCGCTGAAATCCAAATTAAGGCAGCCTAGTTTTAGGAGGGGTTGAATGCCTCCACCACTAGTGATTTCAAGATCAGATCCTCCAATTTTCAGTTTCTACTTGCCCTATCTGCAAAAATGGGGTAATAATATGCATCCTCTTCCCTCGGGTCTGGTGAAGATTAAAGAGTTAACGGTTGCAAAGTGACTGAAGATGAAAAATGCAGAACTTCATTCATTATAATAGCCATCTTTACCATTTTGCCTGAGATAATCAGCCAGTTGTTAGAGTATAATACTAAGGGCAAAGCTATGCAGTTGCTTCCATTTAGTAAGAACATAAACACGGCCACACTGGGTCAGACCAAAGGTCCATCTAGACCAGTATCCTGTCTGCCGACAGTGGCTAATACCAGATGCCCCAGAGGAAGGGAACACAACAGGTAACCCTCACAGGATCCCTCTCCTGTCATCCATTTCCAGACAAACAGAGGCTAGGGCCACCATTCCTACCCATCCTGGCTAATAGAGTCATGGAGGTTAGGTCCATCAATGGCTATCTAGCTCTTTTTTGAACCCTGTTCAAGTCCTAGTCTTCACCACATCTTCTGGTAAGGAGTTCCACAGGCTGACTGTGCAGTGCATGAAGAAAAACTTCCTTTTGTTTGTTTTAAATCTGCTGCCTATTAATTTCATTTGGTGACCCCTAGTTCTTATATTTTGGCAATAAGTAAATAACTTTTCCTTATTCACTTTCTCCACACCAGTAGATTTATGCATATAACTATTGCATAGCAGATATGTCAAACTAAGGAGATAATACATAGCTCTTTGTAGCCATGATGTAACAGAAATTGGAATATTGAAGCACTTATATGACTCTCCGTATCACTGGATCCAACCACCTCACAACCATGAATGCATCTTACTATCACAACCCCGGAAGGAAGTGGGTATTATCCTTATTTTATAGAGCGAACTTAGGCAGAGAGTAAACAAAATTATTTTGCCCAAGGTCACTGTTCTAGTTCAGCATTTACCCATAAGATAATCCTCCGGGGCTGACCAGCTCCAATATTGGTCCCCCGACAGATTAGGATAGAAATACAAAAAAGTAAAGAAAATGTAAAATAGGGCAACCAAAAAAAAAAAAAAGTCAGAGGATGGGGAGATAAAATGCTTCCAATTTTGTCCTCTAGGTTAGAGAGCAGAGATGACTCAAGGGGCGTGCGACTATCTGGTCTGTGAAAGCCATTGAAGTCACGTTGTAAGGAAGGGAATTATTCACATCCCTGATGACGATATCACAGGGAATAACCTATTGTGTTGGGTGGGAGGGGGGCGATGTTGCCTTCAGGCATCTGCACGTGGGGGTGAGGACTGGGAAAATCTTGTAATCTCTTCATTCTTCCCTACCTAGTGACATTCGTGGGAAAACGTCCGCAGTTTTGCAAGTTGCCGATCGAGTCCGTGTCTCTGTCCTTTTTTTCAACTCTTCGGAAACTTTTTCAGTCTGACTCATGAATGACTCGGTAGAATCCACCTTGCCCATCTGCAAGCATAGATGACTTGTGGTGGCACTCGGGAGAGGCACTGGCTTCCTGTGCCCCCTGCCAAAAATATAATTCCTAATAAGGGGACACCTGATTAGCAATGTTAGCTATCATGTAATTGAATAGTTGTGTAACTGCATGAAATTGTAGCAGTTACACAACTATTTAGAGCTAGTGCACTCCTGGCCCCAGTCCCAGGGAGCCCCTTGCTATCCCACCCTGCTGCCTCAGATAGAGAGGAAACAGTACAGGGTGGCAGGCAGAAGCGGCTGTCAGGGGAGTACTATTTGAAAACCACTGCCCTAGGGAGACCAGCTGTCTGCTGCACTGCTGCCTCTGATAGAGGCAGTAGCATGGGATGGCAGCAGCCCCTGTCCACAGGGGTCCAAGTTCCTCATGGACAGAGGCTGGT